GCCCAATTCTTTTGGTCAGGCATTCACAGGGACCTCATCAGATGGTGCACTGCATGCCGTGAATATCAGTTGATAAAACCACAAATCTGTCCTAAAGTGCCATTGGGCCCATTACCAATCATGGAGATCCTTCAAGAGAATTGAACTGGGAGAACCTCCCAGCAAAGAGTGTTGCAGAGGCTCTCTATCCCCCACACACAGACAGGATGGTGGAATGGTTTAATTGCACACCTAAAGCAATGATTTGTAAATTTGTTCACGAAGATGCAAAAAAATTTGGATAAGTGGTTAGAGCTTTTGTTGTTCTCTGTGCGGGAGGTTCCCCAAGCCACCATGGGCCCTTAGAACAGCAATGACCAAAAATCAAGATATCAGTGTGGCGAGGGGGCGTGGCCGAGAGCCGTGGGAACGGGGTGAGGCCACCGCGTGAGTGGATACACGTGCGGTGCGCACCTGCCTCGGATCCCACGGAAGAAGCTCTGGACCATAAAAGGAGGACCGATGGCAGAGGAAGCCGAGAGAGGACCGGGCCCGGGCATGTTATTTTACTTTTGCTTTCAGTTTGACGGCAGTCTCCGCGAGGAGCTGCCGTCCGTTTGTTTTGATTTAAATGGCAGTCTCCATGAGGAGCTGCCGTCATTATTATTAATAAATCATTTTAAAACTCCCTCGGTTCTCCGCCTCCTTCTTCCCGGCGGCCAAAGGGCCGTAAACTTCATTACAGTGGTGCCGAAACCCGGGAGAAGGAGGGACGCGTTGTCCAGATGCCCTCGCCGCTGAGAGAGGGGGCGAGTGTTCGGGAGTTAACCCGAGTGGGGGAGAAACCCGTTCGTCTGCCCAGAGTGCCGGGGCGGCCTGAGGCTGGCGAGGAAAGGATCTGCCTGCTGCCGTCTCCCAGCATGGGGAGGAGCAGGGGACGCGGGGCTCACCACCGGAAGGGAAAGAGCTGAAGGGAGCCATCCCACAGAACCCGGGGGAGTCGCCGCGATCCGCCATGATGCCAGAGCCTGCATCCATCCACCGAAGCGGGAGCGGAGCAGGAGACCAAAAATGCCGCCAGCCAGCCAGGAGAACCGCCGCCGGACGCCAGAAGACGGACGGGTGGATAGATTCCTCCACAGGGCTCCCAGCACGTCGTCGCATCTCTCAGCTGGTGGAGGACCGAGTGGCAGCGTGTCTGGAGAACCGAACCCCAATTTATTTATTTATTTTTTTCCTCTCTCCCCTTTCTCGGTCTACTCTGTCTTTCCTCCTTTTTTTTCCATCTCCTTTTCTCTCGGCCCGTCTCATATAGGTCTCGCAGGTGCTGTGGCGCCAATTCCCCCCCCCCGGAGTATGCACAGCCACGGGGTGCCCCCGGCCTGTGATGGGAGATGGGGGTATGTGGCGAGGGGGCGTGGCCGAGAGCCGTGGGAACGGGGTGAGGCCACCGCGTGAGTGGATACACGTGCGGTGTGCACCTGCCTCGGATCCCACGGAAGGAGCTCTGGACCATAAAAGGAGGACCGATGGCAGAGGAAGCCGAGAGAGGACCGGGCCCGGGCATGTTATTTTACTTTTGCTTTCAGTTTGACGGCAGTCTCCGCGAGGAGCTGCCGTCCGTTTGTTTTGATTTAAATGGCAGTCTCCGTGAGGAGCTGCCGTCATTATTATTAATAAATCATTTTAAAACTCCGTCGGTTCTCCGCCTCCTTCTTCCCGGCGGCCAAAGGGCCGTAAACTTCATTACAATCAGCCATTATTTACATTAAGGTTCATTATTTGATGTCAGTCACTGCATTTACTAACATGAACTAAGAATGAACAACACCTGAATATAATTTTTTTAATCATAATTTAAATCATGCGTTCAAATGTGTAAAAACTAATTTGTGCATGATAACATTAATGCAAGTAATATTAGTTTACAAGGACTAACTAAACATCTTATTTTTTTAATATTGTTAACAAACATAAATAAATAGTGTAATAATGTATTATCATTGTTTGTTCATATTACTAAATACATCTACTAAACATTTAACTGATGGAACCTTATTGTAAAGTGCTACCAAGAAATATTTTATTGTAGGAATTTATTATTTTTTTATGTAGTAGCAATCTTAAAGACACTTACTGTTGACCATTTGGTGTAGTGGTCAACACTGGTGAATCTCCGTGACAATTCCTGGAAGAGATCAAAGAATACCAGGAAAGAACCATGTCAATAGATAGAAATAAGAAAGGCAATCGATCATTATCATAGTCTTGTGAAAAGAGTACATTTACGGTGAAAAAAACTCATAATACAACCACATCGTTCTCCATTAACCGCCCGTTTGGATTTTTGTTGCCGTAGCATAATTGAAAGTTTGTCTATAAAATCTTATATTAAAATGAGTGTGCTTACATTGCCCTGTAACAATCTGCTTGTTAAGTGTGACGTCACGCGAAGCGGCTTCCAGGTCCAAGCGCTCTATTCAACTGAATGGGGAGACTCATGAAATGGTAATAATAAACGTTTACAAAGCATTTAATACTTTCGAAAATCATGATCGCAATATATATGTCCATGCCTAATATCCAATGGCCAGAAAGTGATTCATTTTCTTATAAATTGTTAACATATTGGTATTTGTTATGCAGAAAGCCCAGAGATTGTTGTGTACAGTATGATTTTATATAAAATTAACTTTAATGAGTGATAGGAATAAAACGTGATCATAAATGATTTCTCCACTCTAATGAGTGGCGGCTTGGACCTGGAAACAGTATTACATACGTCACAAACACGTCACCACTTAACAAGCGGATAAGGGCCTACTCACACTATGCTATCCGAACAGTGCACAGGCCTGTTTGCTGGATCGGATCGGCCCTGGCCTGGTTATAAGAGGTGTGCCAGAGCACGGTTACCTTGAAACTGAAGACGAGACGAGACGTAACATTTACGAGATTGTTTCATATGGATTTATTAATCATTTTTAATGTTCAATGAATGAAAACTGACGTAAATCATTAAAGAGGCAAACCCCTCACTGCATGACAGCTGCACCTTCAGCAAACCTCGTAATTCCTGCAGCACTAGGACTATGGTTGTTTGTGTGGCTGATCTGTTCGGCGAAATATTTGACTGCGTCACTGCACCCCAAATGACTGAAACAAAATAACAAAAAAAAAAAATCTCCACTGTGCTGAGCGAGAGCTCTTACTGAACAGCGCATTATCAATGATGTAAGCATGCTCAGGCCTGAATGCGATGTAAGTGCTAGCCGTCGGGGGAGACGGGAGAATGGACAAGCGTGCTTTGGCCCGGCTTAAGGCAAATGTACATAGTGTGAGTAAGCCCTAAATTTAACATTAGTTTCCGTCGTTTGAGTGACAATGAAGATAAAGACGACGTATTGTCCAGCAAAACATGGCTTAATCATTCACATTAAATAATTGCATAGCTAACGTTGAGCATTGAGGTAACATGTCTTTCCCCTCAAAAATAGTCTAAACTGAGTAACATGGCTGACTGACCAACGTGACATTATAACAAAACACTAAAAAAATTTTATAAGAACAAATATATTGAAGTAGTTCACAGTGCTTACCTGGGGATACTTTCTGTCAGCCGTTGATCCTCTCGTCTGTCTGCCTCTCCTCCTGCACAGCCACAATGGCTACATGCCATGCAGTCTTGAGGGAGAAAATGCGCGGGATTTTCCATTCAGATGTCTAATAACGTGCTATTTTTTATATTTCTATATGAATTTTTCATGAATTTAATAGTTTTTAACCACTGATATCAATAAAGAATTTTTAGTTTTAAGTGTACTTCTTTGTAATTTCATTTAAATATCATTTTGTTGAATGCTATAAACAGACTAGAATAAAGTAATTTAACTTAAAGCATTAGAGTTAACACAAAAATATAATTTATTCATAAATAACTCATTAAGCTTGAGTTCTGCTTTATATTACCAGTTTATGAGTTACCATGACTCTTTTTTTATTAAGTCAAAGTAACTTTTTTTAATTATGAGTTAAACTAATTTATTTCCTTTAGTGATTTTCACTGTTAGGTTTTACAGTAATATCTCCTCTCAACCTGATATATATATATATACCATTTTATTTTATAATATTTTATATATATATATATATGTGTGTGTGTTTGTGTGTGTGTGTGTGTGTGTGTGTGTGTGTGTGTGTGTGTGTGTGTGTGTGTGTGTGTGTGTGTGTGTATAGGAAGAAATATGATCATATTACTCAGGCTCATTCAGCATTGTAAAAAACATTCTAAAAAACATTGTATAAAATTGTATATGTTATTTGCTATCTACAAAGCCCTGAATGGCTCAGCTTCACAGTATTTCAGGGAGCTCCCCCTAGTATACCACAGCCCATTTTGTCTAATACGCTCAATTAATTCTGAACAAGTGATTATTCCTAGAATTTTAAAATGCACTGTAGATGTATATGTAAATAGAAGTAAATGTAATTTAGGGCAAACCTCAAACAAACTGGTTCCTTGTGTGACAAAATGGAAAGGGGGGAAAATTAAAATAATAAAAATAATAAAAACACAAGAAATCCGTTTTAGACATCAGACATAAATTTTCTTTTTTTTTTTTTTTTGTCAAACCTAAATTATTGATGAAACCTATCAGCATTTAAGTGGTGATCAAATATGAACACATGAAAATAAAATAAATTACTTTTTTGTTTTGGTCAATTCTTTGTTTGGACACATATTAGGCTCAAATTATCATGGCAGAACATTTTCAGAGAGCTGTTAAACTAGCTGAAAATTATTAAAATTGCTTTTTATGGCTGAAGGCCATGAATGGCAAGAAAAGAGTTAATATAGTTTATAACCTTCTATATACCATGCTATCATTCATGTAATTTTGAAGGATAGCATCATGTATTTTGAAAAAGAAAAACTCAAATGAAACGGTAATATATGAAATAAAGTTAATAATATACAACAGTTTACAAGCAACCAAAAAAAAAAAAAAAAAAAAGCTTACCCTGTCTTTCATTCTCCAGCTCTGAGCCAAAGCTTTATATCCCTCAATCTTCTCTGTGTGGCGTTTCTTCATGAAGGCCAGTGGAAGGTTCCAGTCAGTCATGTCCACCTCCTCCTCCTCTGCCAGACCCAAGACAGGGGAGTGAAGCAGCTCAGCATCCATTTTCATTAAAAAAAAAATCTAGAATAATAAAAAAAAATTAAAATTAGACTTTAGTGCAGCATTCATTCAAAGCCCTAAAAGTCATAGCGACTAAATACAGTAGGAGAGTTGCCTCAGTATTTTATATTCACAATTACTTTCTGTCACAGAAGGAAGACAGAGACCAGAGTTGTTAGTATTTTGACAGTTTATTGAATAGATGGCTGATGATTGATATGATTAATGAGAGTCTATTGCAGCAAAGATGAGGAATTGGACCAGAATCTTTGAAGTGGACAATATATATATAAAAATATATATAATATATGTATATATGTATATATACAGATGTTACTACTTCAATGTGTTCCTTGTGCCGCCATTCATACCGCGGCGACGGCGGTACTTGATGCGCCAGCAGCATTTGACCGCTGGGTGGCACTTTAACCACAGATATTCAGCTTTGCCTTTTCACAATGCTAAACAGACTGTTCTGTAGGCGTAGCTTACTGTGTTGTGATGTGATGTGTTCAATTAAAATATAATTTTAATTTAGTTTTTCTGGTAATAGACATGCTCTTACACTATACTATGCTGTAGAAAAGATACATGGTGAGAAGTCAAAAAGCAAATATAAGAATTAAGTTATTAGCCTTCAGTGCCCGATTAAATTGCGTTGGGGTGAAAATAATGTTTTGATTTCTTTGACTATCATGGCAATGTTATTATCTCAAATCTTAAACGTGCGCATATGAAAAACAGCAAAATAATATAGATTATTCTGCCGGTAGAGCACATCACCTCACAGTTGTGAACTTGCGATCACCTCAACTTACATTTAAAATTTGTTTACCTGGTTTATTGTAAACTTTTTAAGTGCAAAGAGGATTCGTTTTGGAAAATAGAATTGAAGAAATGAAAGACAACTAAAGTGAAAGCATAAACATTCAGTACAAATAAGTAGTCTTAAATAAATAAATAAATAAATAAATAAATAAAGCAGCCTTTTAGTCTAAATATAGAGAGATGTAGTTTGCTATTTTGATAGGACTAAGACAAGATATTTTCATTTATGTTTTTAATTTACGTTTTTATTTACATTTTCGTTGTTGATTATATTTTACAATCTCATTTTATGTTTCAGTACATAATAATAAACGAATAATGAAAATAAATAAATAATGAAAATAGGACATAAATAAAGTCTAGCAGGTTTATTTTTAATAATTTAGTTTCAGTTCCGTTTTTTTGTTTCAAAACGTCAATGTTCTGCTTTAAAGTATAACTGTTTTGTTTTGTTTTTTTACTTAATGGCTCAGTAAGTTTTGTATTTTAATTTCATATTCAGTCACCTTGCATATGCGTGTGAAATATAATGCCACATAACCGCGGAAAAAGAAGAACAGGCTGTCAGTTAAAGCTAATCAAAATTAGCTATATTAAAATACAGCATTTATGTTAATACAGGCAGAGTGTGAACAAACTCAAGGCTAAGATATGCGCTTGCTTTTTAATGCATTTAAAATATAAATAAATGTTTTTTTTTTTTTACTTTTTTTGTATGGTAAAGGACAATGCACATTATGTTATTGATGTAAACTTAGGCTAAAACTTACCATTGATAAACGTGACCTACCTCAAGCAGATCACTTAAAGTGTAATAAAAATAATGTTGCTGCAGGACATAAACGAAGTCCCGCAAGTTTATTTTTAATAATTTAGTTTCAGTACTATTCATTTTTTTTCTCAAAACATCAATAGCACCTTCAATAATCTAAACATTAAAGATGGACCGCAAGATGTGTTGAGTGGCTATATGTGGTGAAGAACGATGGCAAAGCTAAGTGTGATTATTGTAATAAACTAATAAGTTATAAAGCAGAGAGTCCCGACCAACAGGACTGACTTAGCATATGCGGTTGGCTCACTCTTCACGAATATAGAATTAAAATAATGGCGCGTTAGGTTCATTGTGCATCCCGCAGGTGCAACCAACAAGAGTTGTGCATTTTAGTTTAACTTTTTTGAGCGTTATAAGCAGTTCGGTGTTAGTTTTTAATTAAATATATCGAGCCGAAACTAAGCAGCGCATTCTCTCCGCCTCCTCCTTTATAACCAGCGGGACACGCTACTGAAGCAGGAGAGACACTCCGTCGTTCATAATCTTAGCTGATGTGTCGGAGTCGAAAGAATATATCAAAGTGGAATGTTCTTTTTACAGTGCCGATATGTTTAATCTTTTTCCCCTGTCATTTCTCTTCAGCAAATTATATTTTTAAAGCTGCTTGATTCTTTTAAAACCGAAAGCAGAGCCCGTCAATTGGTGTTTTTTCATAAGATACTCCTTTATTAATGTTTTATTTTATGAGTGTCTTTAATGTGCTTTTTAATAGTTTTATTTTATTCAAAGCAGCACCTAAAAGCGAATTTATCCTCAAATCGTGGCATGAGAGCGATGTCATGTCGCATATATTGCCTTTTTTCTGATCTTTTTGCATAAAGGTTTTAATCAAAAGAGGTAATTTAATTACTTTCGATGTGCTAAAATATTTGTTCTGTATATTTAATATTTAAAAAATCAACTCCTTTTTGCCCAGAGAAAGAGGCGCGCGGCACTAGCGGACATGGGGCGCTTTCCCAAAAAAAGACGTAGGCTACAGTAACTTGCGGTTGAACTATGCACAGTTTGGGGAAAAAAAGGATATAGTGATGCATGTTTCCCAAAACCCCTAGTTTCTCTGTCGCAGATCCATCATTTGAATCACGTTATAAGTAAAACGCACATAATGATAAAGCACACCATCATCACGAGGGCAATTAAATAAAGACAACCTAAAGATATTTTTAATTGTTTATTTATGTAATGTGAGTTTTTATAACTTTGTTCTTTAAATTATTTCAATATAACTTAGGCTATTCTATCGTGATGACACCATAAAAGGCCTTCAATGCACTGATATAGGTAATAGGGATACAATGAAAAGCCGATTTTACTATTGACCCTGTTTTTATTCATTGACGGCTTCCCAACGCCGCAATTCTGTTGCGCGAAAAAAAGCTGCTGCAAATAAGCAAATTTATGACAATACACATTTAATAGTTTCATGAAAGTAGTAGCTGGTGTGCTTCATCTGCGTGATTCTGATTTGACATTCTTCCGCTAAACTTGCTCTGTGTTGAGATGTAAATGGACTATGCTCTTTGCTATTGAGGCTACATCAAGGTGTAAATGAGCTATAGTTCTCTTTGCAACTTTCAATTTTGAGGTGGGGGAAGTGGGAAGAGGCAATTCAAATGTACCATCTCTAAAAGTAAAAAGGCCGCTTACGCGGCATTTGTGTTTAAAGATAATTACCTTATTTTTATTTTATTATTATTAATTTATTCATTCATTCGTTCGTTCATTTTCTTTTCGGTTTAGTCCCTTTATTAGTCTGTGATCGCCACAGCGGAATGAACCGTCAACTTATCCAGCATATGTTTTACGCAGTGGATGGCAGGAGGGCCAGCTGGGGCTTCGGAACGGAGTGAAAGGAAAGGCGGAATTTGCCCCGAGTCTGGGAAAGATGGCTTGCCTAATTACACTAGCTTTCCTATCGCACACATGCGCCAAAATAAACAAATAAATAAAAAAGGGAAAGAAAACATCTAGCCTTGAGGTCTTTTTGCTTATAATCGCTGTAAGGCGTAATGTAAGGCTGTTGCATAAAATAATACAATTTTAATTTATAAGTTACTTTGCTGCGTCCCCCTTGATGTTTCAATAACGCATAATAATCTACACACCATATTAAAGACACAGCAGACATAAAGGTTGTGTGTGAGAGCCCGAGCAAAAAATGATCAGAAATTGATCACGCACGCACAGGAAAAAAGGCAATTATGCAACACATGACATGCATCGCTCTCAATTGACGGGCTCTGGCAGAGTGGCGAGTGAAAAAATTTGTATGCAGAAATAGGACAAGAGGAAAAACATTTTAAATTATATAACAAGCATCGTATTCTTTCAAATCCTCGCCCAGTTTTAGTACAAGTTGTGTTATTTATATTTGTGGCTGTGACGTTTATTAATATATATATATATATATATATATACCTGACCAGCGCTGACAGCAAACGCATAAAGGACAGAGTGAAGGAATTTCTACGGTCCACACGAACCTCTGTTAGCGCCCACCGACGTCTTCAGTATTAGAGACAACTTAAAACAAAACATTCAGTTATTTTTGTATTTCTATTTGCTTTTTTTCCTCAGAATAAATATATCCTCTTAACCAACTGTATGACTTTTATCCCGATTATACGCAAAAGAAATAGTTTTTAACGTGTTTTTCATGCTTTATTTCTAACACGTTTATGAATTATAAGTTTTAGCCTAAGGTTACCAGACAAAACAACAATAACAACATTATTATACATCATAGTAGCATGTAGACTATAAAAAGGCAACATATCGACTCATGCGCACACATGAGGCCCGTTGCCAGCCTGGTGAAAGGGATGGTTCTTTTTTTCTCAAGTGGACCTTTTTGCAGTTATACGCCTCAGTTTCCATTTAACTATGAGATTTAAATACTACATTTTAGTGACTTTTTTGCTGGATTAGCCAGTCAGATGTCATTATAACCACACTTTTTGATGTAGGCTACTAAAATATTTCCTTAAAAGTGCAGTTAAAAAATTCAAACAAGAGAAATTTTTAAAATACAAATTTATTAAATCATATGTCATTAGAAAAATAGCAATCTGTTTTAAAGTTTTAAAGTAAAAAAATATATATATATATCATTTATTAGACAAAAAACACACTGGCCAAACCTTTGACAGCCTTTTCTTCTTTTTTCGCGGTTATGCACGCATTAGCCTATATTTCATATGCATATGTAAGGTGACTGAAATTAAAATTAAAATACAAAACATACTGATCCATTAAGTAAAAAAAACAAAACAACAATTTTACTTTAAAGAAGAACATTGACGTTAACATTATTTTATTATACTTTAAGTGATCTGATTGAGGTAGGTCCCGTTTATCAATAGTAAATTTTAACCTAAGTTTATATTAATAACATACAGTGCATTGTTCTTTACCATACAAAATAAAAAATAATAAAAGAAACATTATACACCATAATCGCATGTAGCCTATAAAAAGGCCGCAAATCTTTTTAAATGCATTAAAAGGCAAGCGCATATCTAAGCCTTGAGTTTGTTCACACTCTGCCTGTATTAACTTACATGCTGTATTTTAATATAGCTAATTTTGATGAATTAGCTCTAACCTTTGACAGTTTTTTTTTTTCTTTCCGCGGTTATGCGCGCATTATATTTCAAATGCATATGCAAGGTGACTGAAATTGAAATTAAAATACAAAACATACTGGGCCATTAAGTAAAAAAAACAAAACAACAGTTATACTTTAAAGAGAACTTTAAAGAGAACATTGTTGTTTTGAAACAAAAAAAATAACTGAAAATTATTAAAAAATAATCCTGCGAGATATGTCCTGCGGCAAAATTATTTTATGAAGCAGTATTCAACTTAAGCTCTTTAGACCATGCGCCTGACCGTTTCTTAGTGTTTCACCACATGTCCTTAAATACATAAGGCCTATTTTTATTATTTTTCATTATTCGTTTATTATTATGTACAATAATTGTGACATAAAATTAAATAGTAAAATATAATCAACAACAAAAATGTAAATAAAAAGGTAAATTAAAACATAAATGAAAAGGTCTTGTGTTAGTCCTACCAAAATAGCAAACACTGAAAATCTCTTTACATTTAGGCTAAAAGACTGCTTTAATTTTTTAATTTAGGCATACTTAGAATATTTGTACTGAATGTTTGTGCTTTCATATTAGTTGTCTTTAACTTCTTCAATTCTATTTTTCAAAAAGAATCCTCTTTGCACTTAAAAAGTTTAGAATAACAATAAATCGTGTTAACAAATTTTAAATGATTAATAAAGGAATTATAAGGCTTTGACTTGTTGTTTAATCTCATTTACAAGCACAATAGCATATTTAAGGCTGCTGTGTGGGCTATTTCTGTCGGTTCGCATCCCGTCCCTTTGCGACCCCTGGCGACTCATTCACAAACCGCGGTCATACACTAAAA